TGGCAAGCCACTCCCACAAAGGAGGCCACACCCACAGAGTAGGTTCCAACAATTTTTGAAACCCACCACTGACCTGTATATTGGGGTCACCATGCCATACATTCAAAGGGCTCAGTGGCTAAAGCGCTGAGCTGGTCGAGCAGAAAGGTCGGCAGGTCAGCGGTTCGAATCCCTAGCGCCCACGTAACGGAGTGAGCTCCTGTTCCTTGTCCCACCTTCTGCCAACCTAGCAATTTGAAAGCATGTAAAAAATGCAAGTAGAAAAATAGGAACCACCTTTGGTGGGAAGGGAAGAGCGTTCCATGCGCCTTTGGCATTGAGTCATGCCGGCCACATGACCACGGAGACACCCTTGGACAGCGCTGGATCTTCAGCTTTGAAACAAAGATGAGCACCGCCCCCTAGAGTCGGGAATGACTAGAACAGATGTGTGAGGGAAATCTTTACCTTTTATCTTGACCATCTCCCAGCTTTCATGTACCTGGCTAAGCAACGGGAGTCCTCTCCGTCAGAAATCCAGGCTTAACTTTTCTCTCTGTTGAATCTGTCCAAGTTTCCATCCCAAGAATGATATTGACTTGGGGGTGGAGGGTTCAACGATTTTGATTCTAGGTGAAAGGAAGCCCTTGGGTCTTCCTATAGTGTTCAGCGCCCCCCCCCCCAGTTTGTCCTGGGCTTCTAGGCAGCTTCTCGCCCCTTGAATGGATTAGGTTTCTCCTTGGAGACACTCGGTGAAAGATTCCATGTGAAATTTGAAATGCCGTGTTTAAGGCGCATCCGTTTGCAAAGAAAGCGGGATTTTTCTTCCCCCCAGACGAATGTTTTCTTCCCTTGAATTCCTTCACCCCATGAGCCCAGTCCCTGTTTCTCCCAGAAGGATGACTGGCCATTTCTTCCCTTTAGGGAGGGAAGATGCTCTTTGGTTACCTCCTTTGGCCTCTTCAAATACATGGCATTCTACAGCCTCACGCAATTTGTTTCCGTGCTCCTGCTGTACACGGTAAGGCGGCCATTTTCCTTCCTGCTCCTTTGGCTCGCAGACGCTTGGGAGTCCCGGCGAAGGTTTGCAAGCAGCGATGTCTAGAAACCTGAGCTCCAGGCGTGGGATTTGCTCAAGGGAGGGCATCAGGTACGGGGACGACATAAAGGGACAAAGCCCTACCTAAGTAAAACAAAATGCATGACTGCAACCAGCAGAGAAATTTTTAAAAAAAATCAGAGGCTTAAATTAGAGGCTTCTGAATGGGAACAGGAATAGCCCTGTGCAAAAGAGCTACAAAAACTGGAACCTCCACCGGACCTCAGAAGGAAAACACAAACTAGATGTATGTACTAGAACCAGGGTGTCAAACTCAAGGGCCGTGGGCCAGACGCGGCCCGCGATGTGGTTGGATCCATCCTGCGGGGCCATCCTGGTGTACCCAATGCGTAGAGGAAACATGCCGGCAGTTTGGGGAATGGTGTCAAGCTGGCCATGCCCCCATTGGCCACACCTACCCCGTTGGCCACACCCACCTGGCCTCCAAGGTCAACCACAGCACTAATGCGCCCCTCAATTAGATTGAGTTTGACACCCTG